CTGTATGTTGTAGAAGGGAAAGAAATCAAAAGTGGATTGATATCAATCCCTAATCTTCTTCCTCTCTATCTTCTCTTCAATCTTTCAGCCTTAATCACATAAATCAGAAGGATCTTTCCTTTTTCACTTCATAATTGTTGTCTCTACTAACGACAATTGTCTTTACTTCCGACCAAAACTGTCGTAGCCATGAGTGTTTTGTCTAAACGATGGAGGTCTCTTTGGAAGATGATGCATAATCTCAAATTTATTTGCAATGGCACAAATGATCTCGAGAGATTTTCAGATAATGTATGCAAGTCTCTACTTTCACATAAAGCTCCGGTTCTACAAAGTTTGCATCTCGAAATCAATTCTTACAATGACCCTAGTATCGATAGTATTGGAATATCGATTGGAATTGCATTTGGACTCCATGTGCGTGAGTTGTTACTTCATGTTTGCTCTGCCAAAAGCCCCTTCAGTTTTCCTAGAAGCTTGTTTAACTGTGAAACACTAGAGACCTTGATCCTTAGTGATTCCGTTCATCTCCATGTCCCTTTTCCGGTTTCTTTGAAGTCTCTTAGAACTCTACACCTTGACAGGGTCGACTACGAAGACGAAGAATCAGTTGTTAACCTTTTATCTGGATGTTCTAGTCTTGAAAACTTGGTGGTTAATCGATTTGTGTATGATGATCTCAAGACTTTTACTATTGCGGTGCCATCCTTACAGAGACTAACACTAAATGCCGTCGATGAAGATGAAATGAGTTCGGTTTCTGTGATAAATGCTCCTTCTTTGAAATACTTGAGGATTGAAGGGTTTATAGACTTTGGGTCTTGTCTGTTTGAGAATACACCTGAGCTGGTCAAGGCAAATATTGACATCAAAGAGGACATCATCACGCACATGTCCTCAAGCTCATCGGCGTCCGCGTTGTAAGTTCATCTTTCACAAGTGTTTCCAGCTCTGTTTTGGGTTTGATGATCGAATATATAATTTATTTACTTTGTGTTCCCTCTTTGTTGATCCAGTGATGGCATAATATACATTCCCGTCGACAGTGTACGAAGGGAAACTAGGAGATGAGAAAGAGGTGGCGAAATACATCCTAATTCGTTTGAAAAAAACGACTTTTTCCAACAATGGCATTAATCGGGAAGAGAGAGTTGAGGAGTGTGGTCAGGGCTTCGAATTCATGTAGGCTTGTGTTCGAATGAAGCTTCTATATTTGGAGACTCTTCCTTCCCCCTAGTAATGTTTTTACTCGGTGTATGTCGCTAGGGTAACCTGTTTAGAAAGACCATTCAAAAATTTCTAACCAACTTGTCTCAAGATCTCTGATTTGATTTGATGTTG